AAGAGACAATAAAAGTAATAAGAAATTAAACGATAGTAAAATCTGCCACCTAAACATCGCAGCTTCCTTTTCCTCGTTCCTTCTCATGTTTCTTTTCCAAAAGCTCCTTTTTCTTTGAGACCAAGCTGGACCGTTAATAAATTTGGCTGAGAATTTATCTCCTTAAATATATCCATTCGTGGAATACTTTTTTTGATATTCCTCGTTTATTAATCCTCTATTCTCTTTTTTCGCACAATATATTGAAGGCTGAAGGCAGAGGAAATGTTTTATCACTACTGCCGCGGTTTTATTCGCCTTTCTGCGAATGACATATGTTTTTTACTTTAACAGCTAATATTTTTATTTTATCTTTCTTTTTCAAAATATTCCATATTTAGTGGTTTCGTGTATTGCATAGCCGTGAAACTGAACCTGTCGTCTTAGATTGGATAATAAATGGCCTTCAATCTTTTAAATATGTCGAGAATCCGAAGATATTCCGATTTTATATCAGCGCCTTCTTAAGTGCATGCTCAGTCGATCCAACTATTTCTGCACTGTTTGTTTCTTTAATTTTTTTATAAGTATTTAAAATAAATATAGAATGATTGAATGGCAGTTCGTTCGATTAAATATATTGACTTCCGATTTTTGTCTCCTGACGGGAGTATTGTTATTAAAAGTCTTGGAATGAGGACTCGGCTATGTCTTTATCCATATGACTCTTTGGTAAAGAAATATCACCTTAATAGCCATAGGACTCAGCCAAGAGCTATTAAACGAGAAAAGAAGCAAATAAAAATTAGTATTATCGCGCAATAGCAAGGTTCCAAGGTTTTTTTCTATTATCAATTCTTGGAATTATTTTTTTTATCAATTGTTTATTTCTTTAATTTCATTGGTCTTATTTTTTAATAATGGTGTTATATTCTATTTTATTCTTTCCTTATTTAACCATTCACCTGCAGGTTTTATGTAATAGTAGGTCGAACAAATGAAGTACCATTCTCTTCATTAGATAGTTATTGGTTCAACATAACCATTCGATCATTTATTAACAAGGTAGATTAATTTAATTTTTAATATTTTTAATATTTTTTACGGACAGTAGGAATTTGATCCCTGAGAATTCTGAGCAATCCGAGGAAGGCAGATGCATAAATTACCCACTTTTAGCATGAGGAGATAGCGATAAAAAATAGTGAGATTTGATCGCCATAGATACTTACGCGGTTTTGACGGATGTCAGTTGAATACAGTTGATTTCATGGAACGAAAAGGAGGTATGACAAGGTTTAAAGAAATGTTGCATTTGATCTATTAGCTTATTGTTTGCCAGTCAAGTTAAACATTTTGGGAATGGAGAATGTCTATTTATCTGTGATTGTGAGGAAAATTTAGCCGTTTTTTGAGGTAATATTTTCGCGGACATACTAAAATACCCACAGACATACATACATATATATTAATATTACATGTGGATTATTCGATATTTTTTGATAAATATTGGAGTTTCTATTGAAATTAATGAATTTTTAGTTGGACAACGAATGCCATATGAAATTGAAAATTATTTTGGAAGAATATATTAAGAAAGGAAATGAATTAATAGAGTTGGATGAAGAATTTCTGAAATTTTCTTTAAATTAATTCGATTAAATAAAAAGACAAATCAATTTAAAGGTTTTTTATTTTTTCCTATCATTTTCGTTGTATTATTAGATTAATTTATAGCGAACCTAATGTTTGGCGATTGTAAATTCTTGCCAGAAAGTCATTTGATTAAAAGTACTCAACCTACTGTTGGGTCGCCACCATTATCTGGATTTCTAAATGACAGATTTTTGTTGAGACAAGAACCCTAGTAGTTGTTTCTAATTTTCTAAGTCGCCATCCGTGGTGCCATCCGCGCTAATATTTCCATTACATAGGTTATTTTTTGAATTTTTTTACAAATGAAATTAAGACGAAAAAATATTTTTTTTAGACATTAGGCTTTTATCTCATTCAAAAATTTCAGGCGAATTTCGCCAAAGAGTCACTTGAAACAAAGGTGAGTCGCTAGCCAACCACTCGAATTTTTGAAAGATAGGTTTCTGGCGAGGCTAGCATTGAATTAATATAAATTTATCGCATTGATGGATTTGGAATGGTCATTGGGATAAAAATATTTTGGGTGATTCGACAGATTTTATGAGGAGTAGGCTGATTGCTTTGCCATGATTTTTTCCGTGTAAATTTATGATTGTATATAATTATTATATACATTGGACTTTCAATAATTTTGAGAATTAATTTTATTGTCAATAAATTTTTTCGACTTTTCTACTTCTGCAGTTTTATAAGATTTTTCCTTTCTATATTCCTTGCAGGAATTTCCAAATTCCAAAATTCCAAAATTTCAGTCGAAAAAATTTTTTCAACTTGCTGAATTTCTGTTGCGCTTATCAATTTCGTACTTCGTACCTCCGTCTTCGTACTTCTGTCAAATATCCCTACGCAAAGCGGCTGTTTTGCGGGGACCTCCTAGTCACCAAGCGCGTGTCCGAATATTCCTTTCTAATTATTTTTTATTTGAGATTTTTTTAACGTTTTATTTCTAATAGAAATCAATTTCACTCAAGCCGTTGTGTTTTTTTATTTTTTCATTAATTAAAATATTTTGTGATAATTCGAAATGTCTTTGAAACTTTTATTTACGATTTTCTTTCATTATACAATAAATTTGAAATTGTACTTTTGATCTCTTTTTTTGTAAAATCTTTTTTTCGGATAATTTCAGTGTTTTCTTTTTAAATAACCAAATAAACTATGTTTTACAATTTTATTTAAAATATAAAACAAAAGAAATGAAATAAATAAAATATTTTTTTGTTAAAAAAATATAGTGATAACTTTTGGTTCACTCGACTGGTTTGCCGAAACAGACGAAGTTTCGTCAAGTAGAGTGGCACTTGGCGACAGAGCGCAGATGTATCGTTGGGAAGCGGTTCGGGTTTTCGAAGGACAAGTTTATTCGCTGCTAGTAGGGTTTAGCACCAACGCACTTCTGAAAAAGAACAGCACGTTGAGGTTTTCCACCCTAATTATTCACATCTCTGTGAATTTGGGCAATGAGGCGTTAGTTTTCGGTTTGGTGGCGGTGAAATGGTACCGGAGGGCGTGGGCCATAAATCGGTGAGCTTGGGCCGTGGTCGAGAGAATTGCAGCTTTGACGGATGGCGTATAGGTTCGTGTGAACGAGAGGGTGATGGAAAGGTTTCGTAGTAAAATACAACGGGAACGCATATGAACAGAACAGTGGCAAACCGATACATCGTGGAAATGTAAGAGACTCAGGGATGCGAGAGAAAATGACTGTTGCTGTGAGTTAGAGAATATCGGAAATGCTAGAGAGCGTGACAGAGATGACTTCGAGATAAAATAGTGCACAGCAGAGAAAAAGGGAAGAAAAGAATGGAGAGGCAAGAGAAAAAAAGTATAGATAAAAATCAATAGATAGATGATTATTTGCGCGAGTCGGCGAGCGTTGCTCTCCTCTTATCTCTCTCATCTCTCTTATCTCTCTAATCTCTCATTTATCTTTTTTTTTAATGGCGCAACGTTAGTTTTTTTTTAAATAATTATATTTAAATATTTAATAAAATAAATGGTTTTTTATTACCGTTTTCGAGAGCTTTTAGAGAAATTTGATTTTCATGCTAAATAAATCTTTATTTGCGAAAAAAGTAATTTTTTACAAAATAAAATTAAAATGAATTAAAATTTATAGGAATGAAATAAAATTTGATAATATTTTATATTTATATTTATATACAAACAAATTTTTTTGAAAACAAATTTTTTAAAACATTTTTCGAAATTTATGAAATTTTATTTTTATTTTTTTAAAAATATTTTTATTTTTATAAAATAAAACTTTATAAAAGTAATTGAAATTGACCGATTTTATTTTATTAAAATAAATAATTTAAAATATAATTTAAAATAATTTAATTTAAAATATTTATTATTATTATAAAACATCTAAAATATTTATTGTGCAGCATTTGTTTATTTATTGTCTAAGAGGTTAGAAATAACATAAATAGCATTGTAAGAGCGTTGTTATTCTTATTTCGAAGCGCGGAAACATTATGGTTCCACTCCTGCGAATGAGTAAACTTATCTTTCAAAACATGGAAAGTAGAAACATGGAAAGGAGGGGTGATCAGCACGTCTGGTGATTCATCTGTACTTCAATGACTGATTAGCTGACAAAAGTTTATTTCGTCTGATAAACGAATGGAACAGGTCTAATCAGAAATGGCGAGCGCTTTTGGAAGAAAAAATATGCAACTGAGTAGATCTCTTAAAACTGAGTAGATCTCTTAAATCATTAAGTTTTTGCCAATTCATGAATCAAAGAACTTCTCTACGTTAAGAATATTGTTGGCAGATAGAATAAGAAAGTAGATGGAGCGTATCAGATTGTCACAAATGCGAGGCGAGATTTCAGCGCCAAGTTTTTGCTCCTAGATAGAGTAAACTTGTCATTGAAAATTCAGGTGGGTCATAGCGACTCGTCTGTGCTTCTATCGGCAAATGATTCTCCAGCAAAAAATTTCTAATCGTTCTAAACAAGTTTAATGAAAAATACTAACCATTTTCTCGCAAATAATTTTTTTTGTCGCCATTCATATTATTTATGATTTCAAAGAATTAGCAAAAAGTTACAAAATTCAGTGGGGAAAAATTTCAAAATATTTTTTTTCAAAATTGTTTTTTAGATTATTTTTAAAAAAGTCAGATGAAAGGTAAAGATAATTTTAATTTTATAATTAAAAGGTAAAAAGGTAATTTAAAAAATAAATTTCAAGAAAAATATTTGTTTTATTAAGTTAATTAATTAAAAAATAAGTTTTATTTTTTGATATAGATGGGAAAATATGAAAACATTTGTTCCATTCAAATTTAAATATTTCAAAAAATTTTTATTTTTTTTGTTTTCTGATTTTTTTATCTTTCAAAACAAAAAAATGAAGCGGATTTTAGGACGTAAGGTGCCTGAAGGTGAATTGTGTGCTGTTTGTTCAGATTTAGCGACTGGTTATCATTATGGAGTGGCAAGTTGTAACGGATGGTTGGTTTTTTTCTTTCTTTTTAATTCATTTATAATAGTAATAGTTTTTTTAAATTTCAATTTGAAAGATTGCGACATTACAGTAACATTTTAGTAAAACATTTTTTCGTCGTACGATTGTCTCCGAACATACGTTTGTTTGTCAGTATCAAGGAAATTGTGATGTTAATAAAAGTTTGTTATTTCTTTTGTTTGTTTTTGGAATTTTATTGCTTTTTTTCCAGGTACTCAAATTTGAAAATTGTAATTAATCTTAATTATGTACTTTTTGTAGTCATGAGTCTTGTTCTGATTCTAATTTTTTTAAAAAAAGAGCCCTTAAGTAAAAACAATGAGCGAATATAGATTTTTTATTGATATTAGTGATCATTTTACAATTGAATTTAATTTTTATAATTACATAGAATTAAAATAAATATAGATGAATTCAAAAATTTATTGCAACTGATTAACCATAATTTCATTAAATTATTTTTTTTTCGTTTCGAATTCGATTTTTTGCAAATAAAAGATGAAATTTATTAAAATTTGAGACTTATTTTAAGATATTCGATGTGCTTGTCGGTATTGTCGATTTAATAAATGTGTTGCCGTGGGAATGGATGCCAAAGGTTATTTTCTTTTGTTATTTTGCAAAGAATTTTTTTTAGAAATGATTTTACAATGATAATTCTTTATTTCAGCAGTAATTTGCAACTTAAAAAACTTTCATCCGTGCATTTTTTTTTGTCGTACATATTCGAATATTACGAATATCTAATTTTCTTTTTAAAACGTAAAGTTACTTTAGAAAAAATAATTTGTTTCAGCGATACAGAATGATCGCGATCGAATTGGACCAACAAAAAAAATAAAATTAATGAATCAAAATTCCGAGGATTCGTCGGTTCAAATACGAAGTTTCGAGGAAAAGGTAATTGAATGAAGCAAGCTTCTAAATATTTCTGCTTCTAACACCATGCTTATTTCTATTTTTGGTCTATTTTCTTTGATAATTAGGACAAACATTGGTAAATCAGTCAGAGCCATATTTGAAAATCTTGTATCTTTTTAATTGTTCATTTTAATCGTCATGTAATTGAATTTAACAGTTTTTAAATTTTTAGCTTATAAGTGATATCCAGGCCGTTGAAAAATTGTGTTTGCGTCTACGACAATGTATTCTGCCTGAAATCACCAGTTTAAAAGACGCAATTTTCGGTCCATCATTGTTGTATGATATGAATAATCTCGAAACAGACGTATGTTTTCCTTACATCTGTTGCTGGCATGTTTTAGGCACTTTTTTATTTCACTAATTATACGATTTCTTTCATTTTTTTCTTTCTGCAGAAATCTTATATTTTTATTTCAATTTTATTTATTTATTTTCTAATTTATTCTTTTGATGAATATTTTATCAATGAAATATTTTTATTTTTCGGTGGGCATATTTTTATGAAAAATGAATAGTTGTAAAAATTTATTTTCTAATTTTTTTTCGTTTTTTTTATTGCTATCATTCAGTGGATCTCGTTTTTCATTCGTTTTATTTATCTATATTTAATTATTAATTCTTATTAACTTATTATTTTTTTCTGTTAATTTAAATGAATTGTAGCCAACGACAGTTACAAAGAATTTATATATGGCTACTATGAAAGATGTGCAGGTGTGGAACAAGAAAGAGATACGTGTCTGTCTCGAATGGGCAAAAACTTTTGATTTCTTTAATCAGTTAAATCAAGAAGATCGAGTAAGCGATTAATTATTCTTATTTTTAAATTTTGATTAAACAGTTAGTTGCAAATAAAAATTCATTTTCTAATTTTTTCTATTTCTTATTGGTATCGTTAAGTGAATCTTTTTTTCTACGTTATATTTATTAGATTTAATTATTAATTTTTATTTATTAATTGTTTTTTCCGTTAATTTAAATGATTTCAACAACAGTTATCACCTAATCATTTTTATCATTGATAATTTTTATCATTTAATAATATTTTATCATTCTTTAAAAACTTATGCTTTTATTTAAAATTTATAATTTTTCTACAATTTATATTGTGTTACGTATTAATTTTTATTTTAAAATGTTTTTTATCATACCTTTCAGATTGCTTTAATAAAAAATTTTGGTTTTACGTTCAATTTATTGAATCGAAATTTTTATGCGCCTGATCATGGTAATGACAAGCTTGTATTACCAAATGGAGCGTATATTTGTCGACAAGCGCAAAATGAAGTAAAAATACCTGGATGCAGGTTTGTCATTGTGAAGTTAAAAATTTTCTTTAAACTACTTAAAGATTTTCATTCATACCTATCTTTTGAAAAGCGGAAGGATTAAATTAAATTTATTTAGAACCATTTATCATCGTCAAATGGATGAAATCATGATACCATTTAGAGTCATGCAGGTTACAGTCACTGAGTTTGCATTATTCAAAGCAAGTGTATTTCTAAATCCAGGCTAGTTTTCGTTGTAATTTGTTGCTATGATCTTTTTATGTAACTATTTTCTTCTTTTCTCTCATTTTCTTTCATCTCCCATTTTCTTCCTTTTTTTTAGATGCTATTAATTTGTCTCCTGGAACAAAACAACAAGTTTATCAAGAGAGAGCCAAATACCTTACTGCTCTTTTTTATTTAATCACTTCGAAATGTGGTATACCAGCAGGTGCCCAAAAATATGGAAGTTTGTTAATGATGGCTTCATCAGTTCAGGTAGTATTTTTCTTAAATTTCTTTGTTATAAAATATTATAATATTTAATATTATTTAATATAATATTAATATTAACAGTATTGACATATATGCGTAACCTCTTCCTGACAAAAAAAATTCATTCTAATTCGTATAATTCTTTTTATAAATATTTTCCTGTGAAGCAAGGAATCATTTCTTCATCTAGGAAATATATTTGCAGAATATCATTGCATTAAATGAAGAAAATATGCAAGTAATGGACTTCTTTGAGGAAAATTGGAAGTTAGATAGTTTTGTTAAAGAGATTTGTTTGAAAGATTCATAAGAATTGTTTAAACAGTGGCGTATTTTTGTATATTTCATGTAAAAATTGATTATTTTGACTTGTTTGCCCAATGTAACCCTTATTTTATATCGAGTTACCCGTCTGTTTCGAGTTTTTTTTAAAAAAAATTTAATTTTTTTTCAAAGAAAGTATATAGTAAAAAAAAAAGTATATAGCGATTTTTCAACTCTTAGTGATTCGGATCACCTAAACATTTTCAACTTGATATTATGATGCAAAAAAATTTTTTTAGCGGGTAATTGTTGTTTTTCTTTATTCTTCTAATTAATTTGATTCTGTATGGGTAGCATTAAAATGGTCATTTTCTCGGTGAAGCTTATTTGTGATAATTTGGAGTTTTAAATGTGGGTATTGAAAGTTTAATTAATTGTATTGCTTATGATTGCTCAATAGTTCGATGTTTTACGCGATGATGTATAATCTTTTAGAACTCGTTCTATTGAATGTAAATACCTCAATGCGTGATATAGATCAATCTGAATTACATTCGTCTTCTTTTTTCATCTTTTTTCAACAAATATTATATAAATATTATTTCGGGTATTATTTATTGGTTTATTGGTCATCTTTTTTTCATTTTTTTAAATTTTTATTTGCAATCATTTATGGAAATATATTTTTAAAATAAGAAGACTGAATTTAAAACCATTTTTAAGAACTCTCTGTTAATTAATATGAATATAGATTATGTCGATTTATACTTTGCTTTATTTTACCTTTACTTTTAGTCTACGGCTTAGTTGATTTTCGATGTGCCTTCGTTTTCTAATGTTTTTTTCTTTTGAAATGCATTTATTTTATATTACTATTTATGGCACCATTAATATTTTTCAAAAATATTTTAAATGATCCTAATTTATTTATTTGAAATTTAAATTAACAGTTAAAGCAATAACATAAAATAATAAAATTAATAATTTAAAATGCATTTCGATTATTTTTATTGCAGTTATTATTTCTTAATTAATTAGTTATTTTCACTATGCCGGTTTATTTTATTATATAATTGATTCTCATATCGTTTTTTTTTGTCTTATAAAATTTCATCGAAACTTTTACAGGGTTTTTATTTTAAGAAAAAAGTAATTTGTATAATTCTGAGTGATAATAGAAAATGGATAAAAGTGATAATGAATGAATTTTGAGAATTGTTTTCAAAAAAAATATTCTTCTAAAAACGTTGAATTAATAAGTATTCTTAGCTATTTTATTTTGTCAAACTGTTTGGTTGTCCTGCTGAGCTATTGATTCATCGATTGAGTAATTTGTTGAGATACTTGTTTGCTATACTTCTGGATACTTGTTTACAGTCTGTTTTTCTTTTTTTTGTAAATTTATCATTTGGTTAACCTTTTTTTGTTAAACAAAATGGAAGGTATTCCTATTGAATGGAATTTGTGAAAAATTTTTCATTAAATTGCTGAAATTTTTGTCTTTTTTTGCTTTGCATTAAATTATTTTAAAGAAAGTAGAATTTCTGCAAAAATTTTTTTTATCATTTTTTGATATTTCCACGATTTTTGATTTGATTTGGTTACTGAGCATTGGCATGAAAAGTTCCGGGGCTTCGCGATGTCCAAAATAATTCAACGCACAGTTGTTGAGATCTTCTGGCTGAGATGGGTTGGAGCGCTTTGCATTTGTCGATAGCCACGATTCAAATCAGCCCTTTCATAAAGATTTCTCTTCGTCGCCATAGGTATGCCTATGTGTCTGTCGCTGTGTCGGCAAGTCCACTGCCTTTTCATACGCTATTCGATCTGGGATGGATTTATGTGGAAGTAGTGAAAAGACCTGCTGAGAAGGGTCTGAAGGCAATCAACCTTGTGCAACTGCACTCTGCTCAACTTTTAAAGTCGCTATCACGTCTTTTTTGCAACAATTTTAGGTCGTGCACTCCGCCGAGGTATTTGACGGGGCATCAAGGAAATATAAAGGGGGCTACAACAGAGTATACGAATAGAAGTAGGACTAAACTGTTACAGTACAGCGGGGTTTTGGAGTTGTTTGGTGATGGGAGCTTAGGACGGTTTTTCACAAAATATATAGGGATGTGAGAGTCTCAGACATTGGTGAGTCGGAGATCGCAAGCGGCATAAGGGGATTTTAGGAAATGCTAGGCATGAAAAATCACAACTGGCTTTGGCAGTATATTAATGCTATAATGGGACTCTTTAGTGAAGCAGGGCGTCGAAGATAATTAAAACTGAAGATATAGAGAGTTGTAAAAGATTCCGACGGAGTTAGGAAACCGTAGTACCATAGTCTGATAAAGGCTAAGAGGTTCTGGTGTGTGGAAGTCCAAGTTGTTATTAAGTATAAGCAAAAAGATATTGGAGATGAAGAGGAATGGTTCTTCGACCCAACCTACTATCAGTTAAAATTTCATTTCCGGGCGGTGCTGCCTATATTCCCTTGCGGTTCCACGACAAAAATCTGCGGGACGAGCATAATGGTAATGATAGTGAAACGTGGTCGAAAAGTAGTGAATATCGCGGCCGTGCTTTATGATTAAACGCATAAATAATGTTCTGCTATATTTTCTAAAAGATGCCACCATTTCTGATTAGGCCAACTGGATTCGGGGCTTGTCGAACCACGCAAGTCTCGCCGGGGAGTCCATTCGGAGATAGGAGTTATCAGCACCATTCCTGCGGTATCAATGCTTCGCACTAACCTATTGATTCATTCAATTTTTATTTTTTATCATTTTATCAGTGATTTTTCTTATTTTCTTTTCTTATTTTTATATCTTATTTATTTATATCTTATATTTTTATATCTTATTTTTATTTTTATATCTTTTTTTTTCTTATTTCTTGTTTTTATAATTCTTAATGTTTTTTTTTCAATTTAAGATATAAACAAAAAATGGTTGTTCAAAATAAAATTATAAATAATAATAAATATATTAAATGGATTTGTGGTAATAATGGTGATAATGGTGCGGCATTGAATAATGGAGAATTTTTATGGGCGATTCGAACTAAGAATTTCTCAGAAAGATTAAAAGATGAAGTAAATTCATTGGAAGCGATAAAAAATAATGTTCTTCAATCAAAACGTGTCAAGGTTTTGCTTAAAATTTTTGGCTAAAATTAGATTTTCATTGGTTCCATATCTGTGGACTTAAACGATGCAAAAATGGTGCAAAATCTGAGATACGGCATTGGTCTTCGGAATGATTGCTTTGAAAACGGCTATGTTTTTAGTTTTTCAGCTGAGCTGGTTTAGTCCTTAATGCTGCGAGCTGTTAGAAGAATCAACCATCGATTTAATGAATGAATAAAGGAATTTTTGGTTTTTTTTTGAAGAAGGTGCTAGCTGATGCTCGATTTTTGTTGTCGAATTTCAGCAGAAGCTAAAACGGTGTGGTGGGTTATTAAAGAAGAAGGGTAAAAGGAGTTTTGATCAACAGAATCCTGGAGAAATTTAAAAGGAATGGGTTTACAATGAATCAATTATAACCAAATTCTAAGACATTTTAATACAGAATAATATAATTAGTCAGACAGTACACACTATAATACCAAATAATAGCGTGACAGACGGGCATAATTGAAAACATTCTGTCCACCTTTACATATATATATATATATAATTTTGGTTTAACGAGAGAATCGAAGACGTTGACGTTGATATGATAAGTATTAATAATAAGTATTGGTATGTTGATATGATAAATATTAATCCTGATACCATAATAATCATCATTTTTCTTTATTCTCATTTATTTTATATTATTGGAAATATTTATTTAGAAGGATCAAATTTATTAAAAAAAAATTAATTTTCTTTTCTTTTATTTAATTTTAATAATTTTAATCCTTTTGAATAAAAAATGGATTTAAAATAGGTTTAGAATAAAGATATTTGTCAATATATTTGTCAGTTTTTTTCTTTTTTTTATTATCAATTTGTTATCAGTCTTATGATTTATTGTATTATTTAGAGTGCCATTCAAAATGAAAGTCGAAATGGAATAAATATTAATGAATTAGAAGCAAAGAGCGAAATGATCATCGAAATAATGGCGCATAATATGCAATTATGTGTTATTCGTCTCGTTGGATTCGCTTTAGCAAAAGTTGTTAAGGTAAAATTAATTTTTCGATATTCGTTGTTATTCGTTGTTATCCGACGCTATTTTTTAATATATTTTAATAAATATGTATTTATAAATTTATTTAATTTATCAATATTTGAACCATTTTGAATTATCTATTTTGCAGTAATTCTTCGAAAAATACTCGTAAAAATAAGTTATTTTTCCAAGTCTTATCGAATGGATTAGTTTCTTTTTCTATTTTAGACAATTTTTGATGGAATTTACGTGAATTTCGCTGAACTTCAAAGAGTACGAGAAGATTGTAAAAATGATCCAATTATTTTCGTGCCAACACATAGGGTGGGTTTTTTAAGGGAAAGCAAACCCTTTAGAATAACAGTTTTACTAATCTAATTTTCGATATTTTGGTAGATTTATAAGTGATTTTAATTTCATTTGGTTCTTCCCCATTGGCCAAATGCAGTGATGAGTGACTGTTTTAGAAAAGTACAGCATTTTTGCTTTTGATAAAAAGCATTTTTAGTTTTGCTTAGGGATCTGAGTTGCACTTCTAAGATTAGGAACCATTTTCCTTAAGAACCATTTTCATCTTGGAATTATTTCTTAGCACTGATTTATTTAATAAATTTAAGACGTATATGGACTTTCTTCTAATATCTTTGCTTTGCTTTGATCAAAATATACCAATGCCAGCCATCGCTGCAGCTATGGATTTTATGAATTCGCAGTTGTTAGCTGAAACTCTTCGAAGGTGTGGTGCTTTTTTTATTCGACGAAATGTCAAGAAAGTAAGAGTTGATTCCAATTTTATCTTTTTTTTTTTCTTATTTATTATATTTGTCGGAAAGTTTTAAGGTTTTAAGGAAAATTTATACTGGGCAATTTTCACCGAATATGTGCAAACAATTTTACTAAAGACGAGCAATCCGTTAGAATTTTTCATTGAAGGAATGCGGAGTAGAACGGGAAAAAGTTTGTGCCCGAAAAGCGGCCTTCTGCAAATTGTATTAGAACCGTTTTTGCTAGGCCATGTGCATGATTTGGTACGTTTTCTTTCTTTTTGTATGTTTATATGTACGTCTTGTTTTTTCTAATTGCTATTTAATTTAATATGGAATTGATTTAATTTTTTAATTTTTTATTACTTTAGATTGTTGTACCGATTACGATGAACTACGATAAGATACTGGAAGAATTTTTGTATGCTTATGAATTGGCTGGTTTTCCAAAACCCAAAGAATCTGCTTCAGGTTTAGACTTCAATTTAATTCTGTATAAGAAAATCTTTCTGTAAATTTTATAGTTTTATGATTTATTGATGTTTATAAATTCATTTCATACAGGTCTTTTCAAGGCTCGAAAAATTTTAAATAAACGTTTTGGCAATGTATTCCTTACGATCGGTGAGCCTATTTCAGTCCGAAAATTTTTTCATTCGTCGTTGCATCGTTTGTCGTCTTACAAAGTATGCTTTATCGCTTGAAATTCATTTTTGATAACGACTATAGGAAAAGGTCTTATAAAATATTGTCGTTCGAAGTATGATAAATCCTCCCAAACAGTTAGAAGCAGACAAAAGACTTAATAAATGATGAACAAGAAAATAGGGCGGTGATACAATGACTCAATAGTAAATTTACTTTGGTTTCTTCGGTTTTATCGAATCACTGTCCTTTTGTTCCTTTTGCATTTGAGACGCTTTGACTGTCGAAACGATTTAGGTTTCAGAGCGCGATATATTCACCACCGCTTCTGAACAGTGATCTTCTCCGACTCTCCTCTATTCATTCCCTTTCTTTGCTTAAACCTGTTCTATCTCCTGCCTTATCAAAATCATGATCTTAAGATTATTTGTATGGTGGTGAGAATGGAAATGTTTATGGAATTATGTATACCAAGATCCTTATCGTCCTTTTAATTTTGCTTATACCGACAACAACAAGTAAATCGAGTGTTCCATTGAAGAGGTTGTATCCTTCACTATCCTTATAATTTTGATTGACTGAGTTTGTTATTGAGAATCGTTAAATCGTTATGAAGTCAAGCTTCAGTAAAATTAATTGATTGTGCATCTATTGGGAAAAATTATTGAGAATAGAGAAAATAGTGCTCAATTTACGCCAGCATAATACCAAATCACTGTCCTTAAACAATTCAATAATGAGGCAGTCCGAGGTATTTTGAGAGATCAATCGCCTATCGTAGATTTTAAGTTATGAAAAATTTTATGCTAAAAATTCTATTTAAAAGGCTTTAATTGTCTGCAGATGAAATAAAACCATATCATACTGTGAGATTTTTGGAAGATGCACCAAAGTATATGCAAATTCTAAGGAATGAGAGAGAAAATGAGTATGAGTATGAGTATATGAGTAGTGAGTTCCCATTATCATGTCAAGAAGCAGGAGTTCGGCTCGTGACTTTAACTTGTTTACTTTAAGTTTTTTCTTATGCATTTTAATCCATTATGCATTTGAGTAGTTTCTAGTGTTATGATTATTTTTAAATTTTTTTAAATTTTATAATTTAATGATCCGTTATAATGCGGGTTCACTTATCGATTATTGTTTTGATCAATAAGATAACTGGTTTGATTAATAATTTATATTTAATTTAAATATTTTGCAGAATGATTGCTCATTAAATATACTACCGGAAGATGTGGAATTGATAAAGAACTTTGGATATCACATTATACAACTGCAAAACACGAATAATATTATCGGTATATGGCCTTATGTTTGTGCAGTTATTCTTCAGGTAGCCAGCTTTTTACAATATTAGATTCATTAAGCCCTATGGTTATTTCCTTTCATGATTTTGGTGCATAAAAACAGGATAAAGAATAGAATTTCTATATGTTGCAATGCAATTAAGCCATATCTTTTAGCTTCTGGACGAAAAACGATTATCATCCAAAGATGAGAGCTTAACCATTAATGAAATTCTCATCAATCTTAAGCAATTTATATCATTGGTATTTAAATTAAATATAAAAATTCATATTGTGAATGATGTGGAAAATGATTTCAGGTAATTGCCAGTTTCCATTTTTATTTCCATTATTAACATATTCGCAGATTTTTTGCTAATTTTTTTTTTTTCAAATATGATTCAGGTATCAACTCAAATTGCATAACGATCTTTTCAATAATATTGAAGATTTTGATTCCTTAGAAACATGTATTCAGCTTACTAAATTTACTATCGATGGCAAAGGATCTGTTGATAATGCTTTTTTGGAATATTCCATTGGCTATATAGTTCTTTCAAATTATGTTAATCAAGTAAATTTTTAAATATTTATCAATATTTCCAATATTTATACATTTGAACAAAATTTATCCAATATTCTCTATTTTTCTAAATTTTCTTCAAAACATTTTCAGTTGATGGATAATTTTTTTTCGATTGGTTTGATTTGTGTTCTTTTATTGAAAAAAAATTCCACAATTGGACTTTTTGATCTTTTTCGGTTATTCTTTCATTTTCAGTTATTTTTTATATCGAAATCTATGGGTATTGTTTTGTTTTCTTCAGCTGTTTTTATTAATTCTCTATAAATTCACCAATGGTGAGGCTCTGCTTCCGTTAGGACCAAAAATCCAAGTGAGCTGTGTAAAGTGCCAAATAAATTCCTGGAAAAATTTGTCTAGTTCAAGAAAGCAAAAGAATGAGCCAACTAAAAATGGTGAACTCTTTTAGAAAAAAATTCTCTTGAGATTTCCTTTATTTATTGCTATCTTTTGTGACAATTTTTTTCTTAAAATTAGAATTTTAGAGGGAGATGTTAATTGGATTAATCATTAAACAGTTCATGTGTGATGCAAGTTATAAATGTATATATCGTAGACATCTTAAAAGTTGAAAAGGCTTAATGACTGAGACGTATGAATGAGTGACCAGTAAATCTCATTTATTCCTATTATAGTGATTTATTAAATCTATTCAATTATGAATTCATTCATTCAAATGAACCTGAAAACATTAATAAAATTTTCACTGATGCGATGCAAAAGCTTGAACAAGCGTCGTTGATTGATATATTCGATAAATCCATTCAAATAAAGTGCGAAAAGAGTATACAGATATTGGCGAATCTTGCTTTGGTACGTTTCTTATCACTTTAAAGATTTTCGAGATTCTCGGCACGGATTTATACAATTTTTTGAGAGATGAATGAACCTATAGTTGAGATCAGAAACGAGTGAATTGAACCTGTGTTTCCATTCAGATTTGGCGTTGGCTCTTGTCTTTTCGTTCACTAGATGTGAAATTCCAATAACCAATATTAAACTTATTTTTATCTTTTCTTTTGATTTTCTTTTAGTTGATATTTTTTCCCGTAGGGTTTTTATTCATTTTTATTCAATTTTAGAAATTAGTTTTTTGTTGAATTTATTAAGAGGAGTATTATTTTTGTTTTCCTTTTTGTTTAATTTTAAATTTTTTCATTACAATTTTTAGTTTGCTTAATTTTTTTGTAAAAAACTTCGAAAAAGGATGTCATTCATTCGTAGCTATTTCGTTCGAATATTCATTCAGCTAAATATATTTAATGTATCGAATATCGAATTTTTTTCCAGCCACTCTTATCAGTTTATCAAATCACTATTCAAATTATATGTAATTTTGCTGGTACAATCATCTCTGAAAAATTAATTATTGATGGATGTAGACGACGTTTAGTTCGTCTTTTTTCACAATCTTCCTATAAATTTTTGCGTTTGAATGGTCTATCATCGGAACCTATGAAAAATGCTATACAGTCATTGTTAAACAAGGGTGCTCTTATTAAACAGGTGTTTTTTAATGTTTCTTATTGATTATTTAGGATTTTTCTTTACAAACGCTGTTCTTTCCTGATATAAAACTTTTTTTAATGAATAAAATAAGTGGAGTGTAAAGTTTGTTGGTTCATTTTAAGAACGACGAATATTTTTATCTTTTTCTTGTTGTTTCGAAAATATTTTTTTAACATTTATTATCTCATATGAAAATTCTATATATAAACTAATAGATAAATTATAAACATTATAATAATCGTAAAATGAGCAAAATTTTTTATTGAGGAAAGAAATAGTATTGTTTGAATTGTTAAAGACGTTTCATTTTTTTTGTAATAGTTTTATTTCAAAAAGAATAATCTTTTTGGAAATTGGAATATTAATATTTCGAAAATTAATTAAAATTAATATTTTTATTTTTTGCAGAATGAGGGGATTTATCTTGTGAACTCTACTGGAATTTTTTCACTTGCGCGTTTTTTGAATTCCATTAGTCCCTACAATATGAAATTTAATTGTTCATTGTCATCGAAGCTGTGATATTTCGGTCATTTTTTAATTTTAAATGTTAATGAAAGGTTATATTTTCATTCATTGTATTTGGATGAAACTATTTGTTCCCATGTTGAGCGTCGTCCATTTTTCTTTTTTTCTCTTTTCATTTTTCGGAATGCCGAAATTAAGTGAACAAATTTTTGGTTTTCTCCTTTCTCTTGATTTGTTCATGTGCTGATGAATGTTTGTGAAGCGGGTGAGTCTGAGCCGAACAGTAGAAAGATCCTACAATAAAAAAAGGTTTAGAAGCGTGGCTTTATGTCATAAGTCTAAAAAGAGTCAAACTTGAGAAAAAATCAAAATTTACCTTCCATCTGCTCATAATCAAAACTTAAATCGATGAGTGGTGGATCATTGTTAACAAAGTCCACAAAATGCCATGGGAAAAGTGATTGATTATCATTTTGGTCGTCATTTTCATGCAGTAAACCTTGATCTATTGCTTGATCCCAATTGATTTGGCCCATTAACTGATCTGGCATGCCTATTCGTCTGCATACTGTATGGATTAAGGTTCCAATGGAAACTGGTTGTCCTCCGATCCATATAGTAATCTGACATTCGTAATAAACTGTGGATTTCGATAAATAAAATATTACCGATATTTACCGATCATTTTATTCATTGATTTATTGTCAAGATCAAAGAGTAAGAATGGTTGACATATAATGAAATAAATTGCGGTTCGATGAAAATAGGGGTGAAAATAAAAGCTGATGAATGGGTTGTGTTTCAACTGAATGAATTTTAAAAAAAGACGTACTCCTTTAACATTTCTCACTTTACGTCCATAGTAATGTATCAGACGGAAAACGTCAACAAGTTGTTCCACTAATGCGGTTGTTAACCAAAGGCCTATTGTTATATATATCAGTGTTGGAATTAAAAAGTCCATTCTTCTGAAAGTATTTTTAAATTTATGTTCTAAAAATAACCTTCCTAAATTTGGGCCTATTTTTAGTAGCAAAATTTAACGTGAAGGAAGTTGAAGAGCCTGTGGTTCACGTTCAATGAAGTGTGGAAATAACAATTTTATCACAATACAACAAGAGTTATTTTGACAACTTGAAAATTAAAAAATTTGTGCTAAATAATAGAAAGGCTTTACCTTGGTACCACATCTCCCAATCCTATCGTTGTTAAACTCCTGAAAGATTTAGCAATCATTTTTATCAACAATTTTTATCATTTATTATTTAACTTTATCTTAATTAACTTATCTTAACCTTTTCATTTATCGTTTTTATTTAATAATTTTATGCATTTTTTTAAAAAACAACTCATTATTTTAATGAATAATTATAATAAATGAAGTTTGGTTAAATAAAGTTAAATAATAAAATATGTTTGGTGAAAAAATTTGAGAGATATGTCTCATTAAATTCATTGCATCGTCAGTAAAAGTTCATTTGTATGGTAATAAATTTCAGCGGTGCAATTTCCACATGAATGGATGGCTTTTTGATAAAGATCGATCTGTGATAATTATGAAAAACTTACATGTATGAAAGGTAAACGCTGTCAAAGTACGTCAAATTGTGTTCCCAAAGCGGTAAAACTGCGGAACCAACCGCAATAAAAATCAAAAATAATATCGCAACAAAAATCACCTTCAAATTACCACACGTTATTGCCTATTTATTTCAAGGAACCATACTAAATAATTGGTGGAAAAAAAAGAGCAAATAAAAAAGATTGGTTTAATTTAATTTGTGATTCCGCTGATTTCTTAAATTTTGCTAGGAACAATTTTTTCATGGAAAATTCAGGCGAATCGCCGACATTCGTCTAATTATCCGTCGATTTTTGAGAAACAGTGCTTCACTCTTTGCTTTTACCTATATTATAAATAAGTCCTGTTTTATATGGTTCAGCGAAAATTCCAAGCAATTCTTGCATGAGTATTAAATTAAGGCGAAGGCCAAGTACAATGTCATGAATTTCGTCCGCAGCATAGCATTATTCGCTAACATAACACTAATTGGTACTCTAATGATCCATGAGGATGGTTGGTTGCCTTTTTTATGGCTACAATAATATTTCACTGAATGCATCATTCAAGGCTCAGCAGTATAAAAGCAAAAAGAGAAAAGGACTGAGAACTTATCTTTTTAAAAAATAAAATTAGACCTAAGAAAATGTAGGGATTTTTATTTTAGAATTTTAATCATCTCATCACCGTTTTATCTGCTATTTAAAAAATTAGCAAAAATTACTATTGGTAATTCGCATCGTGGCGAATCGTCTTAGTTAATCTGCAATTGCCTCAAGGCAGAATTGAATTTTTCTGATAAGCAAAGTTCTGACAAAAATTATTCTGATAAAAATATGAATTAATGACTTTAAAAGCGAAGGCATTTCATGAGTATCAGAACGATTCGGTGCAGCGTATTCTTCTCGGTTTGCCGATACTTAGATTCTATTCCAGCCTGATCTTTCAAGAACACGGATAATGCTGGATGCTGGTTTTTCTATTTACGAATAACAAAAAAACCTGACTTGCCGACGAGTGAATGGAGAAATGTGGACGCTTCTAGAGGAAAAAATAAAGGCAAGGAAACGAAAGTGAAGTGAAAGAGTAAAAGTTGTCTGGTTGGGTTAATTCGAAAATCTTGGATGAACCTCTGCAATTTCTCGGGAAAACTTCTTTTCACCATACTTTTTCAATTCCTTCTTATAAATTCTTTTTATTAAATACATAACAAATGTTTTAAAGAATTGTCCAATGTCAGCTATAGTTATAAGAAATAATGGAATTCCAATAGCTCCGTAAATCATCGTAAACACCCGGCCTTCACGAGTTGATGGAACAACATTGCCATAGCCTGAAAATTTTCAAAAATTATTGAAAACAAAGAACCACCACGGGAACTAATATTGCAAAAGTTATTAAAAGTTGGGCTCGATCCACAGGCTTTCGCAAATGCTTGGAAGCACGAGTCATCGGAATTTTTCATATAAAAATACCAACGTACGGCATGACACCGGACTGAGCACCAACTCACTGAACTATTCTCTCCCCATTCCCGTCCTTCGTCTAATAACTCTCACTGGTTAGGCTGCCTCCACTGGCTATTTCCTTAATTTATCACTTATTTATATATTTATTTTTTTGGTTTCATTAGAGAAAAAAATTTTAGAAATTTTAGGAAAAAAAAAGATTCAACTTCATCGAATAAATTAAATTAGCTGCTAACTAATTTTATTGAAATCACATTCTCAATTAATCAAATTTATCAAAGTGGAAATTCGATTTAACAGTTTCTTTCAGTGTTTTAATAAAAAAATGAATTTTTATCGAATTTTTTTTTGAACAAAATTGGAGTTTTAAGAAAGTGCAATATTCATTAATTTATAAATTTTTGTATATTCTTTTTACAATTTATTTCCATATACAAAATTAAATTGAAATAAATAACTGATAAGATCAACAAAAATTTTGCTTTCATCAAAACGGGCGAATTTTTCAAGGTGTGAATATTTTCCAGACATCCATAATTCGACCCCTCCCATCCGGCAATACTAACATCCTTCATTGTTAAGAATGGTGTCACTGGGATTTTTTTCGCGGTAATTCCGTGGCGAAAGTGCCTCATAACGAGCGTTATTACATACGAAAAAATTTTGTAATACGAGCAGCACTAACTTGCACTTGTTAAAGAGTGAAAGATCTTTAAAAACCATTGTATTTTTTAGAAAAGCACTTGGTTTTAGACTCGCTCCTCTGGCTTGTCGCACTAGGCCAGGGAGTCCCTTCGCGATAGAAGTGTAGGTGAATCGCAGGCATAACCTGGATTTTTGGATAGGTTTCACTCCTGCAGAACGGAACCTTAGCATCGATGATCCGAATAGAGCAACAACCCACTGAGCCATTCTATTCTGTTTTTCGCTGTTAGGCGACGCTTCCGCTCAAGTTAGAGTGGTGCGTTGGTGGATTGGGATCGAAGTTCCGGTTCTCGATGGTTGCCGGTTATCAGCCATCGACGCACCATCAAAAGATGCATTGAAGATGAATTATTAGATTACATTTTTTAACTAAACGAACTAGGCTAAAGAAATGGCATTAAATAGCAAATTCTTGGATTAAATGGCCTGAATGGACTAAATAATGATTTTACAGTGGTCATGAAATTTTTAATGATAACCTATTGTTGTAAGTATTGTAAAAGCAAATAGAACACTTGACTGATAAGTCCAACGTTTCGGAGGATTTCGCTTTGAATTATAAAATAATATAAAATTATCTAAGGAAATATGCAATGAGGAAATGTTTCCTAGGAATAATTGAATAGTTTCATCGATAATTCGTTCCTGGAAAAATACTTTTTCGACTCAATTTTTTTAATAATGAAAAGATATATTTCCCACTTGGCCAAGCTAAAAATAGTTGAATTTTTTCGAATTGTGATAATAAACTGTACATTTCAATTGAAATATGAATAGCCAACAACAATGCAATTAATTAATATTTAATTTGGTAAAAATCAAAATTTAAAAATTTAAAATTTAAAAATATCAATTTAAAAATTTAAAATTTAGAGTTTAATTTAAAAAGATATATTTTTTTGATCTTAAAAGAAGACTACAAATATTATAGTTTTGAATTTTTTAGAAATTATTTATTTATTCGAAAAAATTACAGATATTACAGATTATATTTTTAAAAAAACGCGAAAAAAAATATTTGCCTACCAATTTCCAATTTATATAATTTTTTTTCATAATTTTTGAATTTTATAAATTTTTATTTATCTATAAATTTATTTGATTAGTGATAAAATTTAAAAAACCTCATTAGAATGGGTAATTTTATAAATCATTTCATTTTTGAGATTCATAATTTCTATTCGACTTTGACGATTCGCGTCAATTTCATATTCGCCTTCCAAATAATGAAATATATGAGCACCACATAATATATAAATTATAACAAATATATATAATATAAGGTGGCAAATAATAATTCGAAATGAATTCTTGAACTTCGCTTGATTTCCCATGAATTTAGCACAAAAAAACAATTTTTTATTTTTTTTTAATACGCATATCTGAAAGCTTTCAGAAGGAAAATAACGATAAACTAGTGTGATATTTTATGATTATGATAATGATAAAAATATGATAATGACAAATTTTTTACATATTATCAGTCATTGATAAAATCTATTGAATCACTTTTTTCAAATGAATTATCGTTGAATTTCGAAGGAATTTTAGCGAGACATCAGTTGCGAGTGAATCCTCGAACATAAACCTTAAAGCAACCTTGAGCAACCTTGCTTGCCTCCTCATTTCATACGAGCTTCTTTCCATTCTTTTTATATTCCTTAGTTTTCAGTAATTTCTCAACGGCGACTTAATTATTAATATATAAGTAAGTAACATAGAAACACATTAATAATGCATATCATATTTGTTATTACTAACTATTTAATTAATTAATAAATAAAAAAATTTGGTTTCAATTAATATAAAATAGTGAATGGAAAGAAGCGAAACTTAGTCGGATAATGGACCAATAGACTTTTCCTTATTAACAATAAGCTTTTCCAATAAGCTTTTGAAATGCTCTTAAAGGAAAACATAATACATAATGAGTTGGTTATTATTGAGTGCGAGCAATTGGCTTAGGGAAATTTTAATGGGTTATTTATTGTTGGCTAAATGGAATATTGGAACTATTGAATTAGCTTTAATTTTAATTTTAGGATGAATTATCTCAAAGCGATTTATAAATGATAAATTAGTCGATTTGCAATTGTAGATTGAACGAAAAAACATTAGATTATTCAGAAAAGTTGAAATAATTTTTTGGTGATAATGGTTTGTATTTTAATTTAAAAGATTGAAGATTCTCTGCAAAAAAAATTTTCAATTCAATTTTCGATTCCATTCAAATTGACAAATATTCCATTACAGTAATAAAAATTTGAGGGAAATTTCACCGATAAAAATCACCGCATAATTTTTGGATTTTAGATCGATTTAGCTGCGGGAAGTGTAGATTTAAAATTTCTGGAAGCATCTATAAAATACGATTCTACGATTAGTTTTGAAGACTAATTTAATAAATGCGTTACGCGCAAATAAAATGCCATCCTTTTCATTACTTTGTCAAATTCTTATTTTAAAAAACCAATTTTTTAGACTAATTATTTAACACGTAAAATTCATTCAAATACACTCAAAAATTCATGAACTATTTCAATGTTCATCAAATTGGATCTCAGTGGATCGCTGCGATCGAAGCACCGATGCTTATTGCAGACCTGTTTTCAAAAAAAAAAAACCAGATGATACTCCTCTCGCTATTCAATAAGGCGGACGATCCTAATCAGAAGCTATCAGCGTTCTTAGAAAAAAAAGCACTCTCAAAATCCGACATAAACTTTTCATCGATATAATAAAATATCATTTTAAAATATTTCAAATGGATTAATAATTTTTATTTAATAATCAATCAATAATCAATCTTTTTTCATAAAATTTCGTAAATAAAATTAAATAAAAATCCTTTTGCCAAGATTGCTAGAGAATTGGCAAAATAGAACTGCTTCATCTAAATTATCATTTTTATTATTTATTTATTTATTGTTAATAATTTGCAACAATAATTATATAATGCATTACCATTCATTAAAAAATCATCAATTTTTTGTAAATATTTATTTATTTATTTAAATTCAATTAATGGAAAAAAATACGAAAATAAATCGTGTAAATTTCTTTAATTCATATATTTTAATTAAAATTATTTATTCATAATTTTAATTGATTATTTGACAAAAAATTCGCAAAATTTTCCAGTTATTAATAATATATTATAATTCTTTTAGAAATTTTTTAAAGTTTATAGAAATATCTTTTCATTTTTAATAATTTTTCTAAAGGAAAATTTAGTTTTCTTCTGAGAACATTTTTTTTCTGTTTACATTTTCAGCAAATAAATTTTTTTAAAAAATATATATTCTTCGATTTGTACTATATTGCTAAATTAAATTAAAAATATTCGACATATATCTTTTATTTATACAACAAATTTCCTTTATTACGGTTGTTTAGTTGCTTGTTTGAAATGAAAAAGATTTATTCCTGTCTTTTTCTAAAATAGTTTATTATTTCTGGCTAAACTCGCTGTGTTACCGACTTAAACGCATAAATTTATCTTGACGATTCATTTAGCAAAACTAAAGATTTCCTTATCAAAATAACAAAGCGTTCGTTCGGCCACTTCTTGACTACATTTCTACATGCTACTCCCCGAGATATCGTAAATCAAGTAAAATAATTGAAGGACTCCAAAAATACTTTATACGGCGCCTCTCTCCTAATTGCAATTTTAATTATAAAAGAAAACTTCTACAGTATAACCTGGATTCTCTGTTAGTTCGTCGTATTAAACAAGATTTAATTTGTACTTATAAGATTTTGTATGGTTATGTTAAACTAGATTGTTCAAAATATTATAATTTTAGGTTAAATTTAAATTTAAATCCAACAAGAACTAATGGGCTAAAATTACTAAAACCTATGTGTAAAACTATACTAAGGACTTCTTGCTTTCTTCTTTCTTCCTGATTTCTTTATTCGTAATATTAATTATTGGAATAAACTACCGAACGATATAGCCTATCCCTTAAAAAAAATTAGATAATATCATTTATAATATTATTTAAAAAATTCTCATCATGCAGAAAGTATGAAATCTCATTTACCATCCGATTATAGTTATTTCGAATTGTACTATATTATTTTATTTTGCAATATCCTCCTTATTTCACCTTTAAATTGTTTATTTTATTATTTTTTTTGCCATTAATTCTTATTATTATTTGTTATTTATTTTAACTGTTGTTATTAATACAAGCACATGGTGTTCGCGCCCTCCTTGGCTGGTTTTCAATAAATAAATAAATTTAGCGACAAAAGTACAAATGGATCGCCAACATCACTCGGATTTTTATAGATTTGCTCCTATCGGGATTCGCAAAGTGGTTGCAGCTCAATGAACCATTCTATCCCTATGGTAATTTTAAAAAATCTCTTTCTCATCAGCTGTGTGGATGGCAATATAATGGTCATCCACAACCTTGGGTTATCCACCAGAGGCCTGGAAGATCAAGGGTTTTGCGCAATATCTTAACTGTTCCTAATAATGCGATCTTCTAGAAAAAGATCTCTGAATTCTTCCACTTCCTGGATTCTACCATTTTTCTAGTTTACGGTTTGCAATTCCAACTTCTCCAATTATCATTGGAATTACTTTGGCTTTCACTTCCACATCCTCTCAAGTTCCGCTTATAAATTAAAAAGTGAAAAACTGAAGTTAAAATGGATAAAATAATTTATACAATATGATTTATTAAGGATTCATTTCTTCAATTACTACTTTCCTTTTTCTAACTTACATTATTATCACTTGGTATTGCTATATCTATCATCAGTGCTGATTGCTGTGTAAATTATCATATATATATATATATATTTATATTTATATTTATATAATTTTTACGTCTGGAACCAATGTTTTGCCGTTATATCTGTTGTTAATTTTAACTTATTTTGCTTAATTTTTTTCAAAATTTCAGAAAATGAACGAAACACCACATATATTCATTTGCAGCAAACCTGCACGGTCGCATTGCTTGCTTGTATAATTTTTGATAGCGAAAATAACCCATAAAAAGTAACGGTAAAAATAGTAGCAAATAAGTAAGCAAACGTTATAATGAATTAAATGAAAACGATGGATATAATAAAAACAAAAACATTAAACATCTATAACATTCAAGTTTATTTCTTCAGAAAGGATATCCAACATGCTTATTGAAAGTAATCATGGAAATGTTTCCATTCGTTTATAATTGTTTGTAAAAAGTAAATATTTTATAAATATAAAAGTAAATTTCTATCGTAAATTGAATTTCATTAAACTAATTTATATAAATTGTAAGTGATGTGAAAGATGAATGACTTCACGAAACAGCTCAGTATGCCGTTATTTTCGCTTCAGAGCGCTGGTGGTGAAATTCTACTTCTCGAATGAGTGAATCCGTCTTTTAAAAACCTCAGTGATAGTAATAATCCGTCCCAAATTTATCTGATCCGACAAGTCAATCGAGCGAGCCTAACCAGAAATGGGTGGAAAAAAGTCAAGAAATTCTGCAAATTAGGTCTCCAAAGATGAATTGAATTATTTAAATGAAAGATTAGAAATTATCGAAATATTACTGCAAAGCTACCTTTCCTTTCCTTTGCTGCTTTGTGAAGTGCTTTCACCATATTTCTAAATGACATTTCCCTTCTTGTAGGGCATCGACTGCCTGTATGGCCTTGAACGCTTGCTCATTCCCCTTTAATCATTTCCTCCTTGGCATTTTAAAATTCCCTGGTTTCTCTGTCAAACACCAAAGTGTCACCACCTAGCGGTAGAAATATTATCCATTAATTGGGAATCTCTATGGTAAAAGAAGAATAAGTGGTTAACGTTCATCACTTTTAATTGGCTCCACTGGCTGTTTTTTTCCAGAGAATTATTTGTCGTTAGAAGCACAAGTGGATCGCTGGCACCATCCGAATTTTTCAAAAATAGATTAGATTTATTCCTGCCGAGTGCGAGAGCTGAACCTTTACGCTTCTACAAACTGCACTATTATCCAATTGTTGCAACTTAATAAAAATTTTTATTCATCATTGAAATTATTATATTCTTATAAGCAGCTTGATTGGAAGTAACAATGATAAAACCTTTCAAAATCAAAGAGATAATCACAGAGATTATCAATCACATTCGATTTTTATTTCCATTATAAAATTTCAATTTCTGATGGTGCGGATCATCCAAAAATATTTATTCTCATCGAAGTGAGCTACTGAATTTTAACCATATATTTAGCTGGAAAACTTGTTCCAATCAAGCAAATGGTAAAATAATATATATATCCATATACTTGGACTTATACAGCGATTTCCCAGCAGCTACTCGCCAGATTTGTGCAGAAATAACCGGCCAAGCACGTGCAATCACACGCATTTTGATGACTACG